TGCGGTGAAACCTCTGGGCTTGGAATCCCCCAAAAGATGGCGGCGATTTCCGTGTAAATGTCGCGACCCCCATTTTTGATGAAATCCACCAAATACCCACTGCCGCAGTAGTGAGCCTGCAATGCAAACCCTAAACCCTAAACCCTAAACCCTAAACCCTCGTTGTCCTAAGCCATCGTTTTCCAGAACACTCGAAACCCTTAACACTCGTAACCTTAAATACTCGTAAACCTAAACCCTAAACCCTAAACCCTAACCCGTAAGCCCTAAAACATAAACACTAAAAGACAAAACAAATATTGAACAATACACCCTATACCCTACCCTAAACTCTGAACCCTAAAACCCTAAACAATAAACCCTAAACCCTTAGCCTTGAGCCGTGGAGCTCCAAAGACAGACAGCGAAGAGCAACACCCACGAGCAATACTATCTTGTAACAAAACCCTAAGCCCTAAACCCCAAACCCTAAACCCTGACCCCTGTACGGACCAGCACCCTCATTTCGATTTGTGCGAAGTCAGCAGATATAAGGATTTGTTTGTCTTGCAGAGAGGGTTTAAATGCCTCCCTGCAGTTTAGGAGAAGCTGCGTATCTTCATTTGAGCTGTCTGTACACCTCAGTGGTATTGAAACCTCTTTGGGTATTGTCTGCATGTTGCAGTTAGAAGAAGACAAACGCCCCGTCACTGTGCGCGTCTGGTTCCAGCGACAATACACCCTAAACACAACATTAAACCCTAAACCCTAAACCCTAAACCCTAACCACTACACTATACCCCATACAAACTTAACCCTAAACAATAAACCCTAAACACTCACATTATACCCCTACACCCTAGGGGATATATAACGCCTCTTCAGCTTCTCATTTAAAAGCAGGCCCCACAGCTTTTAAGGTTAATAACATCCACACCAGGGTTTAGGGTTTAGGGTTTAGGGTTTACCGAGGGAGTTCTGCTTGCTGAGGAGGTTGAGCAGACTTCCATGGGGTTCTAAACCCTAAACCCCCTCCTTCTTTCTTCTTTTCACAAACCCTGGGGGGCCCCCCAGGGGCCCCCGGGGGCACGCAAAAGGAAACGAGGCCCTCAGCAACAACCGTCTCTGAACTCGGCAAAATCTGAAGAGATACACAAACCCTAAACCCTAAACCCGAAACCCTAGCCCTAAACCCTAGCCCAAAACCATCAATTATTAGTCGGCGCTCTAATGCACTCTGTCACGGCAGTGGGGAGAGGGAATTGGGGGTAGGGTTTAGGGTTTACGGTTTGAGATCCAGGGTTTAAGTTCAAAGGGTTTAGGGTTTAGGGTTTAGGGTTTACGGGGGTTAAGGGGGAGATATATGTGCTGTACAGCTTCAATATTTGGCCAATTATTAGTCGGCGCTCTAATGCACTCTGTCACGGCAGTGGGGAGAGGGAATTGGGGGTAGGGTTTAGGGTTTACGGTTTGAGATCCAGGGTTTAAGTTCAAAGGGTTTAGGGTTTAGGGTTTACGGGGGTTAAGGGGGAGATATATGTGCTGTACAGCTTCAATATTTGGCGGTGGCGTTGGAGCAGAGGCACCACAGGATGGCAGTCCTTGAGGCTCTGCAACCACAAACCCTAAACCCTAAACCCTAAACCCTAATCCCTAATCCCTAATCCCTAAACCCTCGATATACCGCAGTCGTTACGTGTTCACTCTTAAGGGTTTGAGGGTTTAGGGTTTACCTGCAGCGCAGCCTCATCGGTGCTGAGCTTCCGACTTTTGTCTTCCTCAACACCCCCTACTAAACCCTCCAGGGGGGCCCCCTGGGGGCCCCCCTGAGGGGCCCTAAGGCGAAGACGGTTATAAAGAATATCTGCAACTTGTTGAGGGGAAGAAGGAGAAAAAGAAAAACCAACAGCAGCGCAGCACGCTGCTGACAGACCCTCTAATTCAGCCTGCAGCATCCATGCAAAAACCCTAAACCCTAAACCCTAAACCCTAGATATTATATATTTTTCAAACCTCTAGAGCCAAAAGCAAAGGGAGTACATCGCAAATGATACACGAGAAACAGGAAACCTAAAGACTAAACCCGAAACCCTAAACCCTAAACACTTCATAATCCTAAACCCTAAACCCTAAACCGTACCTGCAATTTGTCTTTGTGTGGGTTGAGGACGGCTTCGTCGCAGGCAACGCCTGTCGCCTCCATCAGGGATAACAGCAGAGCCACCGGTACCTCCTGCTCCACTAGAACCCTATATACAAACCCTAAACCCTAAACCCTAAACCCTAAATCCTAAATCCTAAATCCAAAACCGCCCACCCAGCAAACAGGAGAGAGCGCCTCTTTAGGATCTCAGGACCAACTAGGGTTTAGGGTTTGACTAGGGTTTCGGGTTTGACTAGCGTCAGTGTAGGGGTTGATTAGGGTTTAGGGTTTAGGGTTTAGGTACTTGCATAAGCCCTGAGAGAGGATGTAGGGCGCCAGAACACTCCCAATGTTTGCTGTTGTGCAATTTGCATTGAGCGAATTCAACCAAATAAAACTGCTGCCCTCAGAAACCCCCAAATCCGAACTCGCCATCGAACCCTAAACGCAAACCCTAAACCCTAAACCCTAAACCCTAAACCCTAAAGCCTAAAGCGTGGGCTTTGAGGTTTGCGTGCATCGCCGGGATTCGCCTGCTGGACGATTGGCACCGCATGCAGCTTCCTCACAGCTCAACGCAGACTGCAAACCCTAAACCCTAAACCCTAAACCCTAGGACGTACAAACGGCTGCGGCAGGTTCAGCTTCGCTGCTGCAGCGTTCAGTGCTGCAGCAGCAGCAGATATGTCGGGGTTGTCGGGGGCCCAAAGCCAAGTCATCAGCGAGACATCAAGAAAGCACGCGGGGTGAAGAGCTGCAAACCTCAAACCCTAAACCCTAAACCCTAAACCCTAAACCCTGAGCTGCGGGTGCCAAAGGCTAGGCGACACCTCTAGTGCGAGGGAAAGAACCGAAAGAAACAGCAAGAAGCGCTATAGGCTGCCAAGGGTTTAGGGTTTAGAATTTAGGGTTTAGGGTTTAGGGTTTCTAGGGTTACGTATTTCGGCTTTGTGTGCAATAAGGGGTCTGAGGGCCTCCTGAGCGCTCCACAGCAGCAGACAACCCCCAGGCTGGGGAAGCGCTATAGGCTGCCAAGGGTTTAGGGTTTAGAATTTAGGGTTTAGGGTTTAGGGTTTCTAGGGTTACGTATTTCGGCTTTGTGTGCAATAAGGGGTCTGAGGGCCTCCTGAGCGCTCCACAGCAGCAGACAACCCCCAGGCTGGGGGCCCCTCCTCCCTTCCAGCAGCAAATCCTCTAAGAAATCCCAAACTGCAGCAGCATTTACCCCCTCCTGCTGCTGCTGCTGCTGCTGCTGCAGCTGCAGCAGATGCTGCACCGCGAATTCTGCTAGGGGGATTACGAAGTGCTGCCAGTTTATAGGGGGGCCCCTTGCGAGGTGATGGAGGGCCCCCAAAGCTTCCTTCAGGGGCCTCTCTTCAGGGCCGCCCCCGCTGCTGCTGCTGCTGCTGCTGCTGCTGCTGGTTTGGGTTGAGTTTGCGCTGCACCCGCTGCTGAGTAGGACAGCAACAGGAGAAGGAAATCTCCTTCTAAAAGAGTTATTGCTGTTGTACCGACTTAGATGCAATTTGTTGCTGCTTAACGAAGAAATGCTTCCGTCCTCCAGCAAAGTCGAACAAACCCAAACCCTGTACTCATCAACACCATCAGGGGCCCCACAGCAACCCTCTGGGGGCCCCCCTAAACCCTCAAGGGGCCCCCCTAAACCCTCGGGGGCCCCCAGTAGAGGCGATGCAGCAGGATTTGCTGCTTCGCCGCTCTCGGCGCCCAAAGACAAATCGCGAAAATTAGCAGAGACAAAACTCGAAAAAGAATTCAAAGTGCCCAGGAAATGAACCTCCTGCAGAACATAAGCAAACCCTAAACCCTAAACCCTAAACCCTAAAAGGGAATAAGAGAGCCCTACCTCTAAACCCTAACCCTTAACTTGCGTTCTCAGATCCTTGACCCTAAACCCTAAACAATAAACCCTCCTAACTGTGTAAGCTACTTGCCAGAACCTTAATTCTAAACCCTAAACCCTAAACCCTAAACCCTAATTGGTGAGTTACCGGTTTTTGGAGCCAGCTGCTGCACAATGAGTCCCATGCAGCGACAGGATTAAAGACGAGGGTTTGTTTGTTTCTTTTTCTTCGTTTTGTTGTTTCATCTCCTTGCTTATTATTTGGTGTTGTCTTCTTCTGCCTTGTCTCTTTACCTCCTTTCTTCGCCGTCTTCTTCCCCCCTCGACCGTCAACAGGGGGGCCCCCCAATGGGGGCCCCCCTTCTCCCTCAGGATCAGCACCCTGGGGGGCCCCCTCAGTTGTATCAGAGGCGAAGGAGGGGCCCCCTGGGGGGCCCCTCCCAGGGGGGCCCTTCCCAGGGGGGCCCCCTAAGGGACCCCTTCCGTGGGGGCCCTCTGCTGGGGGGCCCCCTGGGGGGCCCCCCGATATGTCTGAAAGGGGCCCCTCCTCTGATGGTGGTTCAGAAGGACTGTCAATGAATTCAGGAGATGAGGGGCCCCCAGGAGAAGAGAAAGAACTTGTAAGAGAAGCAGCAGGGCTGCAGAGGGTACTGGGGGGGGGGGCCCCATCTGAAGCACAGACAGGGGCCCCCACATCGCTAGATATGAAGGGGGCCCCCCCTTGAGCCTCCCTTATATTAGTCATCATATACTCGTCTTCATCTAACCGGGAGATTGACGTACACCCCATCAATGATTCGTCCTCGTACTCCTGCTGCTGCTGCTGCTGTTGCTGCTGTTGCTGCTGTTGTTGCTGCTGCTGATGCTGTTGCTGCAACTGCTGCTGCTGTTGATGTTGTTGCGCCTGTGGTGATTGCCCTTGCTGCTGCTCTTGTGACTCCTCGTGCTGCTGCTGCGGCTGCTGCTTCATTTGCTGCTGCTGCTGTTGCTGCCTGCAGGGTATTAGGTACGAGCGGATGTCGGACTGCACAGGTTGGGGGCCCCCCCCTTCTTTGGGGGCCCCCCGGGGGCCCCTCGTCTTTGCTAGACGGCGCAGCCGCTGCAGCTGCTCCTCTAAGGGCAAATCACCAGGGTCCGCATGCTGCTCCTGCTGCTGCTGCCGCATCTGCTGCTGCTGTTGCTGCAGCTGCTGCAGAGGCAAAGGGCCCTGAGGAGTAAGGGGGTGGCCCCCAACAGAATTAGAGGGGCCCCCATAGCTGATCCAAGGAGAGGAAGCCCAGGGGGCGCCGCCGCTTGCATCGGTTGCTGCTGCTGCTTCGCCTGCTGCTGCTGCTGCTGCTGCTGCTGCCTCTGCTGCTTCTGCTGCTTCTTCTGCTGCTGCAGGAAAGAAACCATCTTCAGTCAGAGGAGAGGAGGAAGCACCGTCAGGGGCCTCAGTAGACAGCAAATTAAACAAAAACCTCTCAATAGCCTCGCTGTACGCACCTCACAAACCCTAAACCCTAAACCCTAAACCCTAAACCCCAAAACCCTACACCCTACACCCACAACCCTAAACCCTAAACCCTGAGCCCAGAATCCTAGGACCTCAATATTGAGCACTAAACCATGAGCGGCAAACCCTGCATCGTATCCAACCCCCCTAAACCCTAAACCCTAATCCCTAAACCCTAAACCCTAAACATCAGCTCTAAACACTCTCTGCACGCTTACGTTTCACTGACAGGCGCTGCCGGCGGAGGCGGCGGCGGCTTTGCGAATTCGAAGGCAACCAAACGCCTGCGAGGGGCCTCTACATTATAAAACCTCGAGGGCCCCCTGGGGGGCCCCCCGGGGGCCCCCCAGGGGCTCGCCGAAGTTGGTGAGGGGCCCCCCTGCATCTGAAGACAATAAAGACTTCTGCTGCAACAAAACCTCAGTTCACAATCTACAACCTAAGGTTTAGGGTTTAGGGTTTAGGGTTTAGGGTTTAGGGTGTAGGGTGTGGTAGGGTTTAGGGGGGCGTCGTGTCCTGGGGGCCCCGGAGATCCAACAGTGGCGGGGGGCCCCCAGAAATCTGAAGCTTCGGTATAAGGAAAAGAAATACAAATAAAAACAAAAATAAATAACAAATAAACGAATGTAAAACCGCATTAAATATATTTAACGATGGGGGCCCCGGCAGGCTGGGGGCCCCCATTACGGCTGCAGGCTTAGGGGCCCCCCTTCAGTTTTGAGATATTACTGCGCTGCAGGAGGTCTGCTTTCTGATTGTTTTATTGTCTATTTGCATAAATTAAAAATAAAGAATAAATTAAAGCAATAAAAGAAGAAAATAAAGTGCAATTAATACCCCTTTAAACCCTCATCGTCCTTAGAGCGCTCTGCTCTACACCACAAACTGGAGGCAGCAGAGCCCCTAAATTTCTGTTGTTTTTCTTTTTTTTCTGTATTTTATTCTTAAATTATATTTATTTTATCTCCTAAGCCCCGTCCCTCGTCTGTGCGCACCATAACAAACTAAGGAAGGGGCCCCTCCCCCTCATGTTCTTCTTCGCCTCCACCAAACAAGAGGACCCCCAAGGGCCCCCCCAAACGAACTTAAGGGGGCCCCAGGGGCCTCAACAGGGGCCCTACCAGGGGCCCCTTTCATCCAGGGGTTCATCGAGGGCCCCCCAAGGGGGCCCCCAAAGCCACGCTTTAGGGGCCCCAATGGCTGCGCAGTGGTCTGCTCAACGCTCAGTCAATTCGACGCTTGGGGGCCCTTCGGGGGCCCCTGAAGATGTATATAGCAGAAACTCGCGAGGATGGCTAGGGGCCCCCCAGAGCTCAGTGGGGGCCCCCCAGGGGGCCCCCCTGCGGCCCAGTGGTGCTGCTGGGTTTAGGGGGCCCTCTGAGGGTCCTTCGCACTCGTGGAACTCGTGGAGAACACCGCAGCAGCAGCAGCAGCAGCAGCAACAGCAGCAGCAGTACTTGCAGTGGCCGCATTACGGGCAGCAGCAGCAGTACATGCAGCAGGAGCTGGTGCTGGAGGCGCCGCAGCAGCAGCAGCAGCAGCAGCACCCGGATGCTGAGATAGAGCAGCTGCAGCAGCAATGCAGATCTTCTTTAGTCGCTTCGCTGCGAATTGTTGGAGAGACCAACGAAACCTCACAACACACAGCCATGCAGCTCGCGGCTCAGTCAGGTAAACCCTAAACCCTAAACCCTAAACCCTAAACCCTAAACCCTAAGGCCTTGGCCTCGCTTTCTGGGTGCAGAGTCATGCAGTCTTTTGTGTAGATCTTCAACTACTCCTAAACCCTAAACCCTAAACACCAGACACTAAACCCTGCAGCGCGCGCCCAACCCTCAAACCCTAAACCCTAAACCCTAAACCCTTATTGTTTTCAGAGCAACTGGAGCGCATAGCCAATACGACGGAGGCAATTGGAGAGAATTTGCAGACGTCTAAATATCTGCTAAAGGGACTCAAGAGCTGGTGGGGGTCTGTGGCGCAGCTGTTCACCCAACCAAGCAGCAGCAGCAGCAGCAGCAGCAAACGCCAGCAGCAGCAGAAGCAGCAGCAGCAGCAGCAGCAGCAGCAGCAGGAGCCTCTGGGTATATATTATATGCATTGCTGTTGTTTGTTTGCTGCTGCTGGGTGTCTGTACAGCTGGGAGAGCTCGAAGGACGCGCAGCAGCAATTAATAAGGAGCTGCAGCAGCAAAATGCAGCACTAGAGTATATTGCTGAAGGCGTGCACACAAATAACGAAGAGATGAGCAGACAGCACAAACAAATCAAACAAATCTTAAAAAGGTAATTTCATTATATATATAGATATATATATTATATATATATTATATATATTATATATATATTATATATATTATATAGATATATGTATATTATATAGATATATGTATATTATATAGAGATATATTATATAGATATATGTATATTATATAGATATATATTATATATATGTATATATATGTATATATATGTATATGTATATATTTATATATATATTAAGGATTCAAAAGGTATTTTAAGTAGAACTAATAAAACTAATAAACCTAATGCATATTATAAATAAAACAAATAAAACAAACAAAACAAGTGTATTAAAATAACAAAGGGCTTGAAATATTACAAAGATATGAAAATAGAGTTAAAATGAAGGCAAACATAAAGAAGATTAAAATAGAGTAAATTAAAACAAATAACAACAAATAATAACAAATAATAACAAAGAAAACAAACGAAGAAGACCAAAATAAATAACACAAATTAAACAAACACAGAAAAATTAGACGCATAAAACGGAAAGGCAAATATAGAAAAATAAAACAAATAAAACAAAACAAACAATCTAATAAAGCAAACGTAAACAAATAGAACAAATAAAACAAGAGAAGTAAAACAACACAAGCAAAACAAAAGAAAGTCAAGGAGAGAAGAGACAGAAAGAGATAGAGCCCAGGCATTGGAGACAGAGAAAAAGAAAGAGAAATTAAATTTAATTTAAAGATAGAGAAACGCACACAAACAGCGACAGAAAGACAACGAGGATGAAGTAAAAATAAATATAGAGACAGAGACAGAGAGCGGCACAAACACAGAGGCATGCAAAGAAAAAGAGACAATTAAAACAAATAAAACAAAGACAAACACATCTCGCTGTGCTGCTGCTGCTGCTGCATCATTAGCGTGTGTCTCTCTTTAGCTGCTTTTGCTTGCTGTGTGTTTCGTCTCTTCGTTTCTTTCGCTGCCTCGTTGCTGTCTGCAGCACTGGTTTGCCTGTTGGGCTGTAGAGACAGCTCAGCACGCAGAGTATTATTTCTGTCTTTTGTCTCCACAGGTAGCGACTTGAATCGAGGCCAGGAGTTCTATTTAGGGTTTAGGCCGACATGCTGCTTCTCCCCAAACCCTAAACCCTAAACCCTAGTTTTTTTCCTTTCGAACGAGGCTCTCAGTGCGTTGAAGCCTCCAAGGAGAACTTAAAACTTGTTTGAGTTGTTAATCCGTCTTTGCAAAGATCAAGACGCACGAGGGTTTAGGGTTTTGAGGGTTTAGGATTTTAAGGGTTTAGGGTTTTTTAGGGGCATTGCATAGGCCCGGCCTAAACCCTAAACCCTGGTTTGCGGCCCTTTTGGTACGGGGTGTGAGGGTTTAGGGTTTGAGGTGCATCGGGTGTTTTAAAACCCTAATAAACCCTCAGCCTTAAACCCTCAAGAAGCTGCATCCAGCGCATGCGGTGCGTTCGCTTTGCGTTGTTAGTCTGAACGGGTGAATCTTTGTGGAGATCCAAATAATATTTTAAAACCTTTAAACAAACTCTGAAGGCCTAAGTTCTTGCTTGCGCTTTCTGCTTAAGATTTAGGGTTTAGGGTTTAGGGTTTAGGGTTTGGGGTTGTTTTGATAGCTTTTTTCTAAGAGGTAGTGGGCAAGGTACTGTACGGGGGCTGGGGGCCGTTCCTCGCAGAGGGCGGCCAAGGCGGGTAGGAGGGCCGGGACGATTTCTTTTTCTAAATATTCCCTTACGCTCATCGTCAATGCAGAGGAAGGCAAAGGAGGCTGCAGCAAATTCGTCTCTTGCAGCAGCTCCTCTCCGCCCACACCATCTCCAAACGTTGCTGCAGCAGTAGGAGCAGCAGACACCTGCGACGGCCCTTCTTCTAAAGGTGCATCAGCAGGGACCCCCGCGCTGCCTATCGAACTCTTTCGCGTACTGTACCGTCGAGGGGAAGAAGTCCCTGCCTGTAAGAGAGTGGCGTCGCGCTCTCCTGCTGCTACTGTGCTTTCTCTCTTGTGAGAAGAACCCTCAGCTGGGGCCGAATCGGGGGGCAGGCTGCTCTGGCTCATCCTCGATTCAGAGCGAAAATATATCAGCTAGTGCCGCAGCTCAGGCGTCTTTCTTCTCTTTGGAAGGAGTTTGGAGGCAAAACAACTTGCAAACAAAGCCAAGATACCAAACACCGGGTCTGCTGCTGCTCCTCTTCCTCCTCCTCCTGCCGTAGCCACAACTGCTGCAACCAATAGCAGCTCTACTGCCAATTTATTGTTGCAATTTAGACACCTCGAGGTAGTTCAAGTGGTGGAAGTGGGAGGAGCACAGCGACAAGTCAACGGCACAGAGGTTCGTTTCGTTTCGTTTCGGGTAGTTTCGAGGTAAACGTTGCTAAAAACGATCAGTCGCAAATAAAAGTTAATTCAAATGCATTTATTTCCGTTGCAAATTCTGCAGGAATACCGCGGCGCCTTTCTGGTGACGGTTCTAGCGACGGGCAAACGGGCAAAGGTCACTTATTCTGAATTGAGACCTCCCTTGCCATTGCTTCTTTTCAAAGTTTCTGAGAAATGCAAATCTCTTCATGAGAAAAAACTCCAAACAATCATAGGAAAAGGGAAACACTTTGGGTTTAAAGTGCCCTTTTGTGGGGCGACGGACAGAAAGTGGAAACTCCGCTGAAATCGGCAATCTCGGAGGCAGGTGGAGCCCCAAGAGAAATGCATTAATATTAATTATTATTTTAGTATGCTTCACGCATCAATATTTAAAGTTGAATAAATGTAAACTCCTTAGCGATATTTCAACATTCGTTGAAAAAGATTTGCGGAAAATGTGCAGAAAAAATAAAAATGACGGCGAATTGCCGACCTTCATTCGTCGCAGTCGTTCAGGTGTCTGTACACCCCGCACACCGTTGGTTGCCCTCGATACCATTTTCTGGTGGATTTTACCCTAATTTTAAAGCTTTTCTATGAAATATGGGTGGAACTACCTTTTAGTTCACTGCAACAACTTTTATAGTGTCGTTTCTCACTGAATTTCCTTCGCTGTTCCGCTTCGGCATTGCCGCATGATTTTGCCTTGCAAACGGAGCCGATTCGCATCCGCTTGCAAAACGGAAATGAAATTTCTGAAAGTTAAGAATTAACCATTAATTCCAAGTAGAACGTTTGGCCTCCCTTGTAGATCCTAAACCCTAAATGCTAAACCCTAAACCCTTCGAACAAGCCATGAGTTGACTGGCTTAATCACACAAATTTAATCTGTATTTACCTCATTTGGCCGCATTATCACCCATTGCGCAGACAGGAGCACAAAACCCCTTTTGATTTCCACAGGGTATTCCCCAGGAAAACAAAAGATAAGGGAGTTGCTGTCTTAGATCCGCAGGGGCTTCGTGCACGGCCTCCTCCTTAAACCCTAAATCCTAAGGGCCTGTTGGTTACGGGGCTGTGGAGTTCACTTTGGTAATATGCCGAAGTTGTGAGCTAGGAATACACCGGAAATATGCGATCGCTGCCGATACACCCCAAACCCTAAACCCTAAAATGAAATTCGTTTCCCCTCAGAAGCGAAGCGTGTGAGCTTCAGATTGGCCAGAATACACCCCGCTGCTCTTGCTGCTGCTGCTGCTTCTGTTAGTGCTGTTGCTGCTGTTGCTGCTGCTGCACTGGCTGTTGCGGCTAATGCAGCTGGTGCTTCGGCATTACCAGCAGCAGCATGCTGCTGCATGCTGCTGCTTCTGGGAAATCGCTGCCGTATTTTTCGCCCCTACTCTTGCTGTTCCTCTTGCCCCCACCCCTGCTGCTGCTGCTGCTGCTGCTGTTGCTGCTGCTGCTGCTGCTGCTGAGGCGGTTCAGGTATTTCGTCCCACATGCGCTGTACCTCCGCGTTGGGTTTAAATGTCATTCCTTCGCTCCACCGGTCTAAGAATTGGCCCTCTGCAGGGTGAAGTGCTGCTGCTGCTTCCAGCAGCTGCTGCATTGTTTTTAGCTGCGCACTCGAAAGACGCTTCGTCTCAGCTGAAGCAAAACCAGCAGCAGCAGCAGCAGCAGCAGCAGCAGACGTAGCAGAGGCAGCAGCAACAACAGCACGAACAACAACACATCACTCAACGGGTAAGCATACGAAACCTACAAACCCTAAACCCTAAACCCTAGACAGGAAATGCAGAAGCGTAGGAACTGCGACTGAAGAATTAAGGATTAAGGGTGTTGGGTTCACTGGCTTGTGGTTAGGGTTTAGGGTTTAGGGTTTAGGGTTTATTACTGCCGAAAGAAATTCCACTCTGCAGCCATTCGCAAAAGTCTTCGATTTCTTCGGTGGTGTGCAGTGCATTCTGCACGCAAAAACCCACAAACCCTAAACCCTAGTCCCCAATCCCTAAACCCTAGTCCCAAACCCTAAACCCCAGTCCCCAAACCCTAAACCCTAAACCCTAAACCCTACGTTTGCGAGAGCCCCTAGGTCTGCGTCGGGGTCTTGAAATGCCTTGGCGACGATGCCAACGAAATTCGCCTTCCCCGCGGCGTCCAGCCGCAGTCGAGCCGTGCACCTGCCCACCCACAAACCCTAAACCCTAAACCCTAAACCCTAAACCCTAAACCCTAAACCCTCAACCCTCAACCCGAGGGCGTGAGAAGGAGCCTAATGAAGAGCGTCAGAAGCAGTGTCTACGGTGCTGTATGAACCGCATGGAAGCGGATTTTCAGGCATAGGGTTTCGCACTGATAAACCAGGGTTTAGGGTTTAGGGTTTAGGGTATAGGGTTTAGGGTTTGCCTTTGTCTAAGGACACGCAGGGCCGTGGCGGCGAGGGTTTTCGGAGGGTTTGCATTGAGGGCCTCTCTAATTTTTTCATTTAGGAAGAAGACAAAGTGTTCGTCTAAACCCCTCAAGAAAGACAGACGATCCAGCAACTCATCCAGGTGCTGAGGCTTCCCCAGCTGCACCACAAACCCTAAACCCTAAACCCTAAACCCTAGTAGAGTGGGAACTCGCTTGTTTGGGCGCTGCAGGGGATGCTCTGTCAGCCGTTTGTGCGGAGCGTGTTGCATTTCATTGCTTATCACTTAGGGTTTAGGGTTTAGGGTTTGGGGTTCACCAGCATAAGGCCGAGGAGCCTTTCTGTCTTCTGTGCAGCAACACGACGCCGCAAGTAGCGGGCATGCTGCAGCAGCTGGAGCTCCAGGCGATTGATTTGCTGCAGCGTAGCAGCAGCAGACCGCGAAGCCTCTTCTTCTTGCTGCTGCTGCTGCAGTTGTTGTTGCTGCTGCTGCTGTTCTGCTGCTGCTGCTGCTGCTGCTGCAGCACCATATCCCATCCCCCCCAACGCGGCGCGCGAAGCCCCTCTACC